ATAAACACAATACACGTGATTAAAATAAACAAGAATCATACAACCATACAAGTCGAGAGGGGAGGGGAACTCATCAAGTTCAATGAACTCATCAACCTGCCGGCACAGCCAGGTTTTAACGGCTTTCCAGAAGGCCTGGAGAGAGGTGAGGGTCCGAATCTCCATGCGGAGTTCGTTCCAAAGGGCCGGAGCTGCCACAGAGAAGGCCCTCCCCCGGATAGTAGCCAGGTGGCATTGGCTGGTGGACGGAACCCGGAGGAGGCCGACCCTGTGTGATCTAACGGGTCTTTAACGGGATTTAAGAAGTTGCTGATGGGTGCTACCTGCATCCCTCTACCACTCCAAAACTCTTTTCTTGTTCAGGAGCCAAAGTGCTATATGGCTCTGGTCTCCAAGCTCTTTAGCCTTATTGTCTTTTATATGTGACAGTTGGGCTTTAGCTTGTACCGCAGATGTTCTACCAGTATTATTTATCCTAGGTAAATTGCCTAGAGTCCTTTTTTTTTAATTGTTGCAAGAAGGAAATAGGCTAAACAAGCATGTACAATACGTTGAAGCTGCAGCAGAATGGCAGAGGATTCCATTGCTGGCTGGGGATGATGCCCATGTCACTCATAAAAGTCAGGATGTGTTCCTCTCATTTCCCCTGGCCATTGCTAGCTTTGCTGCAATGTGGTGAAGCATGGCAGATTTTACTCACTTTGTAGCTATTGCTGGATGTGATCAGCTGAATGGGAAAAACACGCATTAACACAGATAAAGATGACTTAAGCCGGCCTCATTCATGAGCTGGATGTGAAATGAAAGTAACGTCATGGGGATGTAGAAGAAGAAAAGATATCACCCAGGTAGATTATATCTAGGCTAGACTTAAAAGAACATTCAGTAGGGAGTTATCCTGGGTATGATCTAAAACTATGAATATGAGCCATCTGGGCATAGTGGTGAGAATGCAGCACTGCATGCTAATTCATTGCTCACTCCTGGAGTTCAATCCTGACCGGCTCAGGGTTGACTCAGCCTTCCATCCTTCCAAGGTCTGTAAATATGAGGACCCAGATTGTTGGAGGGCAATTGGCTGACTCTGTAAACTGCTTAGAGAGGGCTGTGAAGCGGTATATAAATGCTATTGCTATTTGCTGCCACCATACAGATCCCATAATTTTGGAATCAAGTCAGCCTTTCCCATAATCTCTTTATTCTCTCACTCACCTCCTCAGAGATTTCTAAACATTTTGCCATCACACCTCCATTGACTATCACCTTAATATACACAACATCCCTTAATCCAAACACCGGAATGAACACAAACAAACAATGAAACTTTGGGGAAGGAGGAAGTATTGCAACAATGGAACTAAAAGGTTCCTCTCTCACACACACACCCAATGGCTCTGTTCCAAATCCTTACAGTTTGGAAAACCCTACACTATCTGCTTCTTGCTGTTGAAGAAATCTGGAAATCTTGAAAGTTTCCTGCACATTTTTTCTTTGTACCTAGTAAATTCTTCTTCTCCTGCTTGTGCCATATCCGTCATCAGGCGTTGGTGATCATTTTGGCAATCCTATTTTTGTCCACAGCCGTATGAAAAAGTACTATTGAGTTTTGTCCAAACCAATCCCTTAGGTTTTGAAGCCACAATGTTCTTCTTCTGCCTGGACCTCGTTTGCCAATTTACCTAGTCAATTGGTCTAGTAAATATTTCCATGCTGAGTGCAGTATGTAAGAGTGGCTAAAGTATTGAACTAAATAGTGAAGACCCATGTTCCATTCCAGTAATAAACATGTGGCCACTGGGTGAATTTGGGGCACTCCTAACCACTCAGTCAGCCTAGAAGTTTGTTCTTGTTAAGAGGACCGTAATGTAATAAATAACACATATGGCATAGCTATAGCCAGTTATTTTCTGAACATGAAGATTAGTAGTACGGTAGTAGCAGAGGTGGGTTCCTACCAGTTCGCACCTATTCGGTAGAACCGGTTCGTCAAATCTACCAAACCGGTTAGAAGAGGTTCCACCAGTGGATCCGGANGGAAGGCTGAGTCAACCCTGAGCCGGTGAGATTTGAACCGCTGACCTGCTGATCTAGCAGTAGCCTGCAGTGCTGCATTTAACCACTGCGCCAGCAGGGGTGGGATTCAGCCGGTTTGGGCCGGTTTGTGTGAACCGGTAGTTCTGGCGATCGGTCCCCCCCCCCCACCTGCCCCTGCACTAATCTGACCTACATTTCCTTTATTTCAGTGGTTCCCAAACTTGGCAACTTTAAGACTTGTGGACGTCAACTCCCAGAATTCTCCAGCTGAAGTCCACAAGTCTTAAAGTTGCCAAGTTTGGGAACCACTGCTTTATTTGAAGCCCAGCTGGTAGGCATGGCAGAGCAGATTGCCACACCTCAGCTGTTTTACTCACTGGAGCTACAGTAGAAGATAAGTTTTAGAGCTGTTTTCAAACGCATTGGGTGCGTGTGGAGCGTCTGTTTGGTGCGCACCAAGTGCACCTGTGTGTGCAAAACACACACTCAGTAAATGTGTTATTACAGTGGTTGAATCCCACCACTGATTGCCACCCATCATTTCCTGGCTACTAAACTTTCTCAATCTACTTCTGGAATATTTCTGTCTAGACGTGTTTATGTTTTTTTCACTTCCCCTTTGTTTAAGATAAAATACTTTGCCTACTGTGGCATGCAAATTTCACTGTTTCCTTGAGAACGTATCTTTTCAATGTATATGTTTCTTATTTGCCCTGCTTTGGCTCCAGTTCAATCACTACTCATTGCCTGAATTTCCAATTAATGATTAAGAAAAGAGACGTGCACATTTGATAGTAGTAATGATGATGTTATGTTGAATCATTTCTTTATATATCCAGAAGTGACAGCACTGGTCTCTTACTAATCCTCCTCCTTATGAATAGATTATGACAAGATGTTTAAGAATTGTTCCCTTCTTCTTGAATACAGGACAAAATAACAAAAAGAAAGAAAAGAAAACAATTGGAATGCCACAGGGATAGTGTTGACAACTATAAAGCATAATGGAAACATCATAGAATGTATTGCAAGCAGCTAGAAGTAAAAAATGCTGAGCCTTTAATATGTACATGCTTTGAAGAAGAAAAAATGTGTATGAATCCTAAAAGGATTATGTTCAGAATTTCAAAAGTCCTGACCTGATTTTGATTTATTACTAATTTAATGCAAGTCTGGTATTAAACACCAGCTCACTCTACCTGTTGATGAATTCTGACATGAATCAGATTTTAGACCACAATTGAGCCCCAAATTTCTGTTGCTAAGCGAGACAGTTTTTATGTGAGTTTTGCCCCATTTTATGACCTTTCCTGCCAGAGTTGTTAAATGAATCACTGCTGTTAGTAACACGGTTGTTAAGTGAATCTGGCTTCCCCATTGTCTTTGCTTTGTAAGGTGGCTAGAGGAGATTGCGTGGCATGCAACCGTCATAATTATGAGCCAGTGACCAAGCATCTGAATTTTGATCACATGACCATGGGGATGTTGCAATGGTCACAAGTGTGAAAAACAGACCTAAGTTATCTTTTCCAGTGCCACTGTAACTTTGAATGGTAACTAAAGGAATTGTTATAGTCAAGGACTACCTGTAATGAATTACTGGTACACAAAGGTTCAGCTATGAGTTACTTAGATTTGTTAGTGGGAGGTCCACTAACAGATACTAAAATATGTCCAGAGTAGTAGCAGGAATCATCAAGTTGCCTTTATGTAAGACACAAGTACTATAGTCTCCTTTCAGTTTTGTTTCCTACTAAGTACCATTAAGTGTTTTATTGCTTCACACTTGAAGTAACACACAACCATTGTGAAAAATAACCATGCTGCATGAATCTCTCTAGTCGTTTTTAAAAAACTGTCCAAGTTTATGGCCATTACTATACTTCTGAAAATCAATTCTACAAGTTGACTATGGGCTGAGAGGAGATGCAGTTCCCTTGTCTAGTTCTTTCATTATTCAATTTCAATAGATTATCCCTAGATTCTAATATCTTGAGAAGGGGGAAAAAATTGCCTTATGTATCTCCCTACTTCCTCCCCATAATTTCTGAATTTTGATTATATTTCCCATTTCTTTCTTCGTCTTTTGTTACTAGGCTTGATCAACTTCTTCTGTGTTATTTTCCCCCTCAACTGCTCCAAGCCTTTGATTGGTCTGCTTAAGCTTTTCAGTACAATTCCAGCTCTATGATAGCCAATTTGAGGTGTGATAAAGAGAAATATTCACAGTGTGCTAAATGGGATTGCATCACCCATTTATATAACGATATTACATATTGGCTGTTTTATTTTCAGTTCCAGCAGCTGCACACTGAGCTTTCCACTACACTATCGCTCCAAGATCTCTGTGGTGACTGCTACTTCAGATGTCTATGTGAACTTAAGTGCAATATGAATGTTTGTATATTTTCCTGCTAGAAACAATGTGCCAAAATCCTTCTGGAGCTGATCGCTGTCCTTGTTAATCTCTCCACCCCCACAGAACATTGGAAAGTAATTATGTAATGGGACGTGGCATTCTGTCTATCTGTCCGTCAGCAGAATAACTCTCCCCAAAAAGTTCAGAAGAGCAGAGCCAAATGTGATTGGGTGGGAGAACTCAACAAAAGAAAAGTTGGGTTTGAGGGTAGACTACATCCTTCATGCATCTCTGCTGGAGTGGCAATTGGGCAGGGATTCAGAATGATGCTGACTCATCCATTTTAAACCCCTTTCTTTCTCTCAGTTGACATCTCCAAATGTAGATAGCCTGCACTGTGCTTCACAGTGTGCACACTCACATACCACACAGAGTTATGCAACCTATGAAGAAAGGAGAAACATGCATGCACACACAGACTCAACAGAATACTTCATTACCACTAAGGAAATACAGATTTCTCCCATACTCATAGCTGGGAAAGGATCTGCAAAGCATTTCGGGAAGCCATGCTCTGCATGCTTTCCCTATGTTGTTAATTTTTTTTTAAAGTAAAAGTTACCTGAATTGGGAATAAAGTCTAATTGTGTTGGACTCTAGGGCAGTGGTGAAATTCATTTTTTTTACTACTGGTTCTGTGTGTGTGGCTTGGTGGGCATGGCAGGGGAGTGATACTGCAAAATCCCCATTCCTTGCCCCAGTGGTGGGTTCCGGACCCTGTTGCAATCGGTATGGTGCAATGGTGCCCGCCATTCGCCACATGAATGCATGCAGCATGCACGCACACATGCGCAGTGCGGGTATGCAACCTTACCTCCTGCGATGCTCCGTGATGCCTCTGCGACACTCCAACTACTCGGCAGAGCATTGCTCAGGTGCCATACACTCTGTGCATGTGTGCAGAAGCGCCAAAGAGCTCAAATATAGGTAAGGAGGGCGGGCAGGCAGGTGAGCCCTCCAGAGCACCATACCGGAACAGTATCCGGTGCTCCCAGCAGGCACTAGTACGCCCATAATGGGGCATACTGCCTGCAACCCACCACTGCCCTGCACACTCCTGGGGGAAGGATATTGCAAAATCTCCATTCCCACTCCACTCTGGGGCCAGCCAGAGGTGGTATTTGCCAGTTCTCTGAACTACTCAAAATTTCCGTTACTGGTTCTCCAGAACCTGTCAGAACCTGCTGGATTTCATCATGTTCTATGGGCCTTGGTTCATCTCTCCAGTGTTGTCCAAAGCTGTTTCTGTGATCATGTGGCCAGAATGATTATATGCTAAATACCATTACCTTCCCATTGAAATATAGCAATAGCAGTAGCACACTTAGACTTATATACCGCTTCACAGTGCTTTTATAGCCCTCTCNGGAGAGGGAGAGGGAGAGGGAGAGGGAGAGGGAGAGGGAGAGCGAGAGCGAGAGGGAGAGGGAGAGGGAGAGCGAGAGCGAGAGCGAGAGCGAGAGCGAGAGAGAGAGAGAGAGAGAGAGAGAGAGAGACTTAGAAGCAACAGAGCCAACTTTTGGCTCTCTTCCTTTATATGCGCTCAGTGTGATTTCAGCACTATATTTCTATTATATTAAGTCAAGCTAAGAAGTTGTGACAAAGGGATAATTTAATACTAGGCTCTCAGAAGACCCAAAAGTGATTATTTCCTGAGTTCAACCATCTATTCAAAGCATTAAAAAATCCTGAAGATTTAAGATATGTATGTGCACTTATAAGAATCTGTAATCTAAGACTATAACTTGTCATTATAGTTACATTTAACTGCAAAATCAATTGCAGAGTTAGAAATACAAAATGAATAAAACAATCATCTCACAGGCTGTCAGCTTGAGTGACTGAAAAGAAGAAATGTATTTAATACCAAGAACTACCCTATTGATTGTCCTTTTGAAAATCTCCTAATGATGGACTTTGTCCATAGCTAGTTGTTTGATCTCAATGTCAACATTCCTGCTCTGTAGTTTTGTTTATATGGTTTTCAATAATGGAAAATTTTATGGTTCTTATATTGCCCAATACAAAAACAATGGCAATTTAAATTCATGCTTTCCCAACTGAACACAAATGGGATGATTGCCT